GGGAATCACAGTGTGGCAGGTTGCAAGCAGGGTGAGGAAGTGGTCAATGGCCATTGCGGTGTCGTGGCCATTTTTCAAGTTGGACCTTAGCCTGTCAAAGTTGTGAATGCCCGTATCATCATCGGGTCCAGTTGCGCGGCGATCCTCGGGGACTTCATCGGCGTACTGGAGACCGGCGATTGTGCACTGCTTAAACTCCATCTGGTTGCACGTAAGAGTGCCCGTCTTGTCGGAGAAGACAAACTCGACCATGCCCAGCTCTTCAACCAAACTGGATGTCCGACATGTTGCTGGTGTATCAGCCTTGTCATAGTACATGTCGAGATCGTCATTGATGAGTATGCCGTGCCAGTATTTGACAAGTTCCACAGTGACGAAAAGAGAAATAGGAACTAGGGACGAGAACAAAACCCAGTATGTAACCATGTCCCTGGCAAAGGTCTTCACCACCGTACCAGCATTGTCAATCTTGTCCAGATAGAGATAACCAAGTGAATCGCCGTTGACGCCACGCATGATGAGGTCTCCAACGGTGCAGACCACACTGAGCGCTAAAAGCATGCCGATGAGGACCAAGACCAGCCAGTTGAGCTTCTTTTCAACCTTGGTTCGTTTGATGGGGGTAGCCGTCGCATTTCTCATGAGCTTTGTCTCGTGACCGGTAAAGACAACAACACCGTGGATCCAGGGGGTGTTTCGGAGCGTGGCACCTCGAAGGAGGAGTTGCTCGGGATTCAACGCCAGTTCCTTCTCACCTGGGCCAGTTTGCATCGTCAACGTCGCTTCATAAGTATACAAGCTGCTGTTTGGTTGTTCCGACTTGATTCGCCCACCAAGTCTGCTCAGTTCGCTGGATGAGACCATGGATGAAGTCTCGGGCAATGCTTGCTTGATCTTCAGGTTCGTTTCGCCGTCCAAATTTGCTGTTTCGATATAACAGAGACCTTCAGGCTCAGAACTAGCCAAGAGAACCAAATCGGCAGGGAATGGCTCTTCCGACTCCACACGCACAATGTCACCAACCGCTACGTTGATCCAGTTCGTTTCGGTAAAGCTAGATCCGCGCAAGACCCTTGCTTTGGACGTATTCAACGCGTTATCAGCTTGCTTTCTGCGGTAATCCTCCACCAATTCTTTACCAGCAGAAATCAAAAGCACGATGAGAAGAGGAGCAATGGTCGTGTATCGATTGGTCGGTGAGAGGCCAGGGATTTGTTGCAAGCCGGCCGTGAATAAGAAAAAGACGTTGGCAAACTTGGAAAATTGTTCCAGGAGGAACTTTGGAAGAAAAGTGGCAATGTTGTACTTGGCAGTCGAGATGTGATTGTCGACGTACTTGTTGGCGGAATTAGCAGGCGGATTGTTGAGGTGGATGATGCGAGGACCGAGAGTAGATGGATCTGGCTTGCTGCGGCCAAAGCCAAACTTGAAATTGCCCATATCAAACCCTTTGCTCCTCTGATCTGGTGGCGAGCCGCCAGAAGAAGCACCGCGTTCGTGGCCGCCTTCTGTTAGTGGCAAGTCCATCTCTGAATATCCCTGGCCCATGCCAAGTTTATTCTTGACTCGGCCGAAAAAACCGCCCCCCAAACTCAACACGCTGTTTCGATTTCTGGCATTACTCCTGGCTGCTGTCGACCGGGCGTTGGTCGGGATCGAACCTCCATGCTGGTAGTATGAATCGCCATCGACGGGATAGTCTTCAAAATCGTCGGCATATCGCTGGTAGTTGCCCAGCTCTGAGGTCTGGCTGTATTGCCTGCTCATGTAGGGAGAAGTACTGCCCTGGCCTTGGGGGGGGGTACCACGGGCGCCAGAGCGAGTTGCGGACGAGGTGGATGCGCCAACGAAGTCGTCGTAGGATACTGAAGGTCTGGTTTGGGGCTCTTCTTGATCGTGGGAGTAGCGTCGCATCAAGTCGTCGTCGTTCAAGGCCGATCTCTGGCCACCACCGTATAGCGGCTGGTCATTGTCTAGATCCAGCAGCAGGTCGTCGCGGTTCCCCGAGGATGCGCCATGGCGACCTTCCGTCGGTCTTCCAGCCATGCTGGATGGTGAGCAATGCTCAAGCAGTCAGGCGGGGATCGATAGTGTCGCGCATGCGGATGGGGGTATCGTGTCCGGGCACACAGGAGACAGGCGAGGGGATGGTGTTTCCCGCAGGCGGTGGTGGGATCGCAGGCCAGATGAGATAGGCAGCTGAAGGAAAGAAAAGTGAGTCGATTCGAGGAGTGGAAGGATTAGGATTAGGGCGCGGATGCAGGTGCGGATGCGGATGCGGATGCGAGGCAAAAGCCAGCGAGGAACATATGAAGTTGGAGGCTGAAAGCTTGAAGGAACAGTAAAACACTTAACACTAGTACGTGGACGGAGTAGAGCCAAGGTCGAGTGTTTGACGGGACAGCAAGATTGAGTATCCACGGTACGGAGCAGCAGGTGTGGGTGCTTGACCGGGTCAAGGTACGGAGTACTGGTGAATACGTACCACTTCTGGGGTTTGGAGGCGCTTGGCCAGCCAACGGTAGCCGACTGGTACTTGCGGGCTCTGTACATATGTACTCCGTACAGGGTGCAGACAAGGGGCGAACATTGAACACCCGAAGCCACCAGGCTCGTTTAAGAGAAGAAGCAAGGCCGTTTGAGCCTTTGCACACCCAAGTACGGAGTACCAGACCTAGGCAGCTGCCAGCATGCACATGGAATGCGTCTGCGCTGCACAGCCACCACCTGCTGTCGCCATCCGCCTTGAAGAAAGGCACTTACATAGATGCTGCGGCCAGCGGCCATAAAGGAGGTTGAGCGGCACATGCAGCGTCAAACGCACTCGAGAGGGGCGCAGACGTTGGTATTCGTGTCCCCTGTGCTGCGGAATCGGTCCTGACCAATACGGAGCGGGGACGGCGTACCTGCTAGGTACTTCAGTACCCAAGTACTGGTTGATATTGCAGCGCAGCATCATGTTGTCGACGTGTGATTTTGTTGCGTCATTCTTTGTTCTTTGTTCACAGCCATACTAGCGCAGAATCGTTGCGTTGCAGCGCCGAGACTGAACGCTCACTGCTCACTCTTCCTCTTGACAGTCTGTGCAAATATATACAACTTTATTTCTGATGTCGAGCTGGTTATTGGTCTGGGGCCTGTGCAGCCTTGTCTGACAAGTACTTGGTAGTAGTATGCGCCTAGTAGTCGACAGCAGTCCCGCAACCTGTCAACTGTGTCCATGCCTCTCTGCCCGCCTGCCACGGAGTACTCCGTTCACCAGTTGTCAAACCCCTATTTGTATTGATTCTTCTTAGGTCGCCGACGACTAACTAGTACTAGCCGTCACCCGGCAGCGTGTGGAGACTGAACATTCATTGGAACGTCAATTGGACCCTTGGATGCTTGCCCACTGGGCAACTGCACTGACCCTCTGAGACATTTTGATGGGAACATTGAACGTCAATTGAACTGCTCCAGAGCCACATGCAAGCTTGTTCGCACCCGCCACCGGCCAACCCAGCTGCATCCTCACCACCACGTGTGACGACATTTGACATCTGCTCAACGTCCACCGTACAGTCCTTTTTCAGCCACAGCCAGCGGCAACCACAGTCCAACATTCAAGCAGTTGATAGCATGCGCCTTGGGACTCGTTCGTCAAACGGCAGATGCTTTGAGAGCACCTAGACGAAACACCGCCTGCACTGCATAACCACACCGATTCAAGTCAAAACGTTATTGCTTTGCGCCTGTATCCGAGGACAGTTACCTCCAAGACTTGAAAACCAGGAACATTGAAAGCGCGTGCCGCCTGTCCACAGAGCAGAACCCGTCAGCCGACGTCAATTAAACCTCCATCAAAGTGTGGCAAAGGGCGCCTCAAGCACTTCGCAAACCACCAGCCAGAGCCGAGCCCTGAACCATTCCACGTTTCATCGCCATCCACGCATTGTTCCCTGCCCGGCATCTCCGCCAGATACCGTCATCGTCCGACCAACTGAGTCGGTTTCCTTTGCCGCCATCAGCCCTTTGTCCCTGCCAAAGAGCAAAACAGATAAGGAGCTTTCCAGCAACGCCCTCGCCCACCATGGTCTGCACCAAGTGCCAGAAACTGTCCAAAACGACGCTAGCCACCCCCGATGTCAAAAAGAAGAGTGAAATGTACTACGGCTCCCCTGCAGCATCGTCCTCGAAACCATCGGGGTCAAAATCGACTACTCTGGGACAAAGCGGCGTCGTAAAGGTGACTTCATCATTCTACTAATCAATGCCTTGCTTTGTCATGGCGACATGGAGCTGACCGTCTTGATAGAGCAAACTTTTGTCAAAATCTGCCAAAAATCCCTATGCGCAGTACTCAAGGTATGTAACTACCAAGGGATGCATCTCTAGCTGGTTTTTGTCCGTACCAATGTAGTGCTTACAGGCTGTTTGTAGCTCATGCACAAAATGCAAGGCAAAGGTGTCGCAGGGCCACAGCTTATGCCAGACATGCGCATATAAGAATGACTGTACGTGCTCAATGTGTTCTTCCTTCCCATCAGCGTGCGTGATGCGGCTAACCTTTTGACAGCCTGTGCTATATGTGGGAAACCAAACAAGAAAAAGAAGGCTGATGCCGCTCCAACTGTCACGGGCCAGAAGTTCACCTTGAAGTGAGCTTGATGGAACGGTGCCCAAGTCTCCATTTCAACACCAATGTCACGCCAGAAGAGTGCTGGTGCTCTGCAAGCCCCGGCTACCAAGATCGTGAACTTATCACGTCGGCTAGAAACATGGTTTGCAAGCAAGAGCGAGCAATCAAGAGGTGCATCAGTGTCATGCAGGCTGGCAAAGCTTGCCGGATCAGCGCCAGTCATAGAAGACCAGACCGACGGATATGCCACTTTATACCTTCCAAAGGACCATTTACCTACAGTCGACATGGCACACCAGACTGTATGATGTAAAATATGCCATCAATACAACTAAAAACATGTCTTCACAAACTAAACGGTCGTCATCGCATAACACAACGCCTACAAAGAAGCCCTCACCGCCCCATCCAAAACCTTGTTTAACCACGCTCCAATCAACTTATTCACCTCATCCCCCGTCTGTGTTAGGGCCCAATGTGAAGCCTCGACCTCTCCCCTCGTCAAATCCTTGAACCACCTATCCATACCGGCTGACATTGCGGGCGGCAACGCAGCATCTTTTGTCGCACTAATAAACAGCGCCGGCGTACTAATCTGCTTAAAGTCCTTGGTCAAGGCCAGTTCCTCCTCATAGTTAATCTTCCTCGTCCTATACCAATTCAAGGGGCCCCTCATCGGCGGTGCACTCTGCAGCATGTACCGAGCAGCATAATGATCCAGCTCCTCCTTGGAAACGAGCGGCGAGGGCCCCAAGCCAGGCAGGTTATCAAAAAGCACGCCCTCGCTAGTAGAGAAGCCCATCTTTCCGTCCTCCCCCCAGCCGCCAAACATGCCATTCAGGAACTGCCGCACCTTCTCCTCGCTCTGGAGCTCTCTCTCGACATCCGGCCCCGCAAGCTGCAGCTGGTACTTGAAGTTGATCAGTCGGCCGGCGGCAATGTGGTCCTCCAGCGGGACCCAGACGGGATTCGGCGGTGCAAAGGGCGTACACACGCTGAAGACTGCCTTGATAATCTCCGGATACCAGAGGACAGTTCGCCAGACGAGAGCACCGCCCCAGTCATGCCCGCCGAGCACGATTTGTCCGTCTTCGCCGACGAACTTGATGGCCAGCTCCCTGATGTCTGCTGAGATGCTCTTGTGCGAGAACTGGGCAAGGTCATCTGGTCGCGAGGTCCCCGCGTACCCGAGCATGTTGGGGGCCACGACGCGCAGGCCGAGAGACACCAGGTACGGTATCTGGTTGCGCCAGCCGAAATTCATGTCGGGGAAGCCGTGGATGAGGAAGACGGTCTCGATGGGGGTCGACGTCGGCTCCCCGAGGATGTAGTTGTACTGCTTGCCGCGGATGGAGGCGGTCTCCTCGCGGACCCGTGGGTCGTTGGGAACTAGTTTAGATGCCATGGTGTTGATTTTGGAGCGCTGTAGGCGTGGTGAGCGTGGCATGGCCAGTGTATATGATATGGGCAGACGGGTTTATATAGTCGAGGGCGGTGTAAGATGGCGGAGGGAAACCGGACTTCGTGCAGAAGATGGACGTGGTGTTCTCGTAAGACCGACGGGAGCTCACGCCAGCACTTGGCTCTTGTTGTCCCTCAGTTAGCTTGCCCACCAAACAACGAATATACCTCACGGGGCCCCCTTCCCCGCATTGCAGTATCACGACTACCGGCAAGAGAAACGGGTCAATTGGTCCCTACCGTGTCTCATGGAGCTATTGTCTTGTCAAAAATGGAAATGATTCCTCATCGATGCCTGGTATTTCTCAGGGATCGGGAACGGGGTGTATGGTGAATGCCGCCTACATATGTACAGCTCCGGTTGGGGTGGAGACAGCCGAGGTTTGCTGTATTTGGGGGCTGCCTTGGGGTGCCCGGCGCCATGCATCCCAGGTGCCGTTTTAGCTTGACCCGAGTCCGACGTGTCTACCTACAGATGCGGGATACTCGTATGCCTTCCAATCTCGGTTTTTTTAATAGATTTGTCAAGGTCCGGCGCGTGGCACCGAAGCGCTAGAGCGAGACGTGTTCTTGGGAAGGGGGCAACATGGAAGGACGACGAGCTTGACCGCGTTGGTGAACAGCAATGTATGATTTTGCCAATGAGACCCATACTACTTCGTCCTCTACGCCTAGACATCCGTCAATAAAGACGAGTCCCCAAGCCATGCATGATGGACGTATTAACCTCGATTCTTGGTAAACTAGCCATTCCAGACCCAAACACCACCGTAACACTTTACAGACAAACGCCTAGCCGAAATGGTCCTCAAGCCATGCCATATAATACAACTGTGACGTTCAGAAACAGAAACAAACGCACGCCCTGTTCAAGCTCCCTAGTAAATAACTGTGTCCTCGTCAGCCTCCACCACAACGTCCCCCGACTCATCGTGTGGATCATGATGATGCACCGACTTGTCTTGATCCTTGGTATCCGGCTCCTGCTCGCGCCGCTCCTCGCCGTGCTTCCCTACGTGCGCGGTTTCCAACCGTCCGATCCCGTCTTTTTCCTTGTCGGATGACGGTCGTCGCGGCTGATACCGACTTAAATGGAGCTCCTTTTTCGACTTGAACTCCGCCTCCTCCTTGGCTATAGTGTCCTTTGCAGAGCGAACCTGGTCGTCAATGGCGTCTTCCTGGTCTGACGTTCTCTTCCACGGCAGGTAATACTATCTGAGCGTTAGCTTGCTCCCACACAACAGTGCAGGATGACATGGCGCCAGACTTACAATAGAGGGCTGCGACTTTGTCTTTAAGAATTCCGCGAGGGCTAGTAACTTGGAGTGCTTGTTCCGCATCTACCACGCATTAGCATTCATCTTGTTCCCCCCCTTCTTTAAGTGTACCACCATTGCCAATACTTACCACCTGCTCCTCGAAATCAATATGTTCCACAATCCTAGTCTCCTTTATCCTGGCCACCTTGTCTGCACGTTTCTTGTCGTCCTCGTCTCTCTGCTTCTGCATGCGCTCCTGCTGTCTCCGTTCAATCTCTTGCCGTCGTTTGTGCTGCGAGTTGGTGCTCGTCTGGCTGAGTGTGCTCAGGAGACCGCCGAATAGCCGCTTCCCGCGCTTCTTTTCCTCCTGTGTGGCAGACGCCCTTCGATCTTGGGCCTCTGATTGGATAGACGGTCTACGACGTGGCGGCGAGCCGTCGTCGTCGTCTTGTCGCTGGCGTTTGGTGTAGGGCGAGTCATCGTCGTCACCAAGTGATGCTTTTCTCTTAAGGGGTGCTTCTTCACGCCGGGATTTGTCTTCTTCCAGCTTTGGCGATCCGCCCACGGCTGGGGGGATGCTAGTTTCACGGATTAGACTCTGACAATGTACATGTAGTGGTGGATGTTTGGGGGGGGAGGAACGGAGGCTGCAGCATACGTCTCCGTGGCCATGACGGGCCGGGTTGCTGGACTTATCGCATGTATCCAAAGCTGAAGCGTCAATGGACGGGGTCCATCTATCCCCTGCAATCAGCTCCTCGTGCTGTGCAATATATCGTGATGCCGGAATTTCAAAACTTGTCGCCGGCAGTGTGGAAAATCAACCATCGTCAAAACAGCTTCCCAGGTCACAAAACCATTGTCGTCGAGTTGCGCAGAGTGGGGCCCCAGCCGGTTGGCAGCTGGGCGCCCCCCAAGCGAGAAGATGGAATCATTGCACAGCGCAAATGACCTGATTGGCCGGCGGTGCCTGGCCGAGGTTTTGCTCATCAACCTCCCAGCATCGCCCGCCACGCAAGGCTGAGAAATCCAAAAAGTGTCAGGCGTGCCAACTGTCTGCACATTACTAACCTCCGGCGGCGGCGGCGAAGAAAAAAAACTCTTGAACCTCTATTTTTCTCTCTAGGAACCTCATCTAATTCTCTGTCTCATCATCGCGCCCGTCAACCGCCATCATGTCCCGCCATCACCCGTAAGTCTCCATCCCCGTCTTCAGCTTGACACAAATTCTCCCAGCACCAAGCTAACAATCACCCCCCCAGCGATCTCGTCATGTGCCGCAAACAATCAGGCATCGCCATCGGCCGCCTCTGCGATAAATGCGACGGAAAGTGCCCCGTCTGCGACTCCTACGTGCGCCCTACCACTCTCGTGCGCATCTGCGACGAATGCAGCTTCGGCAACTACCAGAACAAATGCGTCGTGTGCGGCGGGGAGGGCATCTCGGATGCGTTTTACTGCTTCGAGTGCACGCGGCTGGAGAAGGACCGTGACGGCTGTCCGAAGATTATAAACCTAGGTAGTTCGAGGACAGATGTAAGTTTTTTTCCCCCTTCCCTTTCGCGCGGGTTAATAGTTGGACGAGTTCAATGCTAATATGTGCATGTACAGCTCTTCTATCAAAAGAAAACGAATCGGTCGGCGAATTACTAGCCTTGAAGTGGCCCGGGTTTGGGCAGCAGGGTTTTACATGTCTGGGAATTATGCTGGAATATACTAAGTAGTGTTGGATGTGTTAGATTTTCCGGCGTTTTGGAGTATAGAGGCGTGAATGCAAGAGTTCTGCCAAATTTGTACTTGTTTAGGGCCAAAAGGAATTGCAATATTCCCCATTTTGAGTGACAACGGTTACCAATTTCAAGGCTGTTCACATACGAGTAAAAGGAGACATATTCATGGGCCACCATAATGTATAGTATTTGAAAATGTATATTCAAGTGAGATGCAGAATACCTGGAACATGCCGAAGCTATAATATATAGAACAACTTGCCTTGTTGTTTCAGTATCAGCCTAGTCAACTTATACCCCAACGTTAATATGCCTACGTAGTTGATACAAAAGAAAGTCCCGTTCCGTTCATAACTCCTCATGATGCGATAGTTCATATAATACAAGAGTCGGTCTAAATATAGCTGACCTTGGTGCCCATGCCGGCCGTGGCCATGACTTTGTTCCACGAAGCGCCCAAAACTCTCTGGATTCGTTGTCTGATACCCTTGTGCCCAAGCATGATCAGGAATCCAACAACAAAGGCTAAAAATCTCATCAGTAAGGCCGGGTTGCTATTCAAAGACCTTGCCAGTTCATCAACCACGGATCGTAACCTGGTAACGACCATGGTGGCTCGCGCAGTAAATGTCGGCGGTGCAACAGCCTTGCCATTTTGTCTTGATGAGACAGAAGGCTTGTTCGGCCGGTGTTGTGGTCTACTTGCGCGAGATTGGCGAGACTTGTTGCCGCTTGTTGACGAACTAGGCGATTGTTCAACGCCATAATCAACTTCACTGGCTTCTCGTCTTGCTCGCTCCTCCTCAAGTCTCTTTCGTTCCCTGGCTTCATTTTCTGCGCGTTGTCGCTTGGTATCCTCGATTTCTCGGCGAAGCTCCTCCTCTTGCCTTCGGCGCTCTTCTCGTTCCAAGCGCTCTTGCTCTTGCTGCTCTTCTTGCAAACTCTGAAGCGCCTGGACGAATGCCTCCCTTCGCTCATCATCCAAGACGGGGCTCACACTGATAAACTCACGCGCATAGTCCCATTCATTATTCCGCGGCAAGACGTGTAGAGTGTACAGCTCAAGAATTTTGACTCGAGCATTGAGATCACGTGGGGTGTTCGCACCACTAGTGCCTGGAGCTGGTGACCGGTATCGCGAGCCCATACGCGAGCCCGGGGCAGGCGAGCCGTTCAACTTGCTCGCCAAATCAAGGTTCGGCGTGGTTGTAGTGGCCAGATAGGTCTCCAGCCGACGCTGGTTCAATATCTGATCGCGAGCATGCGCGAGTAGAATAGTTGCTCTTTATGGATACTGGTTAGCCGTGAACTCTAGCCAAGCTTGAGTGAGAAGGGGGCGCAAAGGGGGACAGGAATTCCCTACAGGTTGATGACAACGTCTGAATCAACATCACCCTCAACACCATGGTAGCCGTTTTGAACAACCTCCTCCCAAACTTGTCCGTCACGGACCTTTGAGCACAGTGCCCTCCATTCCTGGTTACCAAAAGCATCCTTTCCCTCCTCGGGGTCCATTTCCAAAATGGCATTGAGAATAGTCAAATACAAGCTCCACACCTTGATCCTCGTGGTCCGCGAAGCCCCAGCGACAGGCGCAGGCTCGCCATCGTCAGCTGAACCAGGCGGCGCGATGAGCGGTGTTAGAGTGGTGAGGGCCTCGGGCAGACGACGCGTCAGGAACAAGGTTGAGGCTTGGCGATATGTCTTGGAAATCTGAGATGTATGCCTCGACGCGATAGTGGAGGTCTGTAGCGAGGAAATTGACGACGAAAGAAGGTTGCGGCCAAATGCATCCGGAGCAGAGGCAGTCATGGCGGGACTTCCGGCAGCGAAGGAGGATCCATTCATTGACGACATGGCGGGCAACCAAGGATTTGGGCGAGCGGGTTACCAATTCGGCATGGACGGCGGATAGGGCTCGGAGGTCTACCGTTGTGCTTTGTGCTTTCCTTGAAACCAAGACTATCGATGGATTGAAGATGGAAGAAAGGAGGGGATGCGACGCCTAGAGTCTCGTGTTCGCAAAATCCGTGCAAGTCCAATGGAGAAGGTGGGAAGCCGACGGCGAGGCTGACCAAGTCAAGGCGCAGATATTAATGATGATGATGCAATGTCGTGCAGCACCACCACAAGCGACGCACACGTAGGAGAAGAGTAGAGTTAGAAACGGCGTGCCAGGGCCAAAGGCATAGAGGAGGGCGATCAAATGGCGGACCACGACATGACATGTGGTCCGGCGCTGTCGTCGAACATGCCAGTCGGACAGTCGGGGAGGCGGTCGAAAACAGTCCAAAGGTGGGTTTTCCGGTCGGCGTCGTGGAGTGGAATGTGGATGGCGGCGTTGAGCCGAGGCTTTTGTGGACAAAAACAGTGTGATCGTTCTTTGGGCCAACTGCAGGACGTCTCCAGAGCGACTCTTGGGCTGCCAGCCAATCACGGCTCGCCGCTGGTGCCGAACTGCAGGGGCGATCCGTTCGTCTTGTTGACCTCGGCGACTGGTGCCCCATGGTGTTTATTTAGGCACGTTAGTGGGATACCTCGCTTGATATGTTGCGCCTCATCCATTGCAACGTATCTACGCACCCTCCGCTATCCATCACGAGCTCCTCCGTACCTGATCAGATGCCACCTTCCAGGGGCTCCGCCCTGAAGATGGCCAATGGGCCCGGAAATCGGAGATGACGAACCTTTTCAGTGTCGTGGTGCGCATCCTCCTCAACTCTGTGCCTGCCTTCATCGCCACGTTGCAGTAGTAGTGCGAACAATGCCAATATTTACAGTGGTATCCAAACTATACATCTATACAAGATAACCCAACTATAAACACTCCATCCCAAGTCCCAACCCGCTGAATGGTATCTATAATTCCAAACGCCACCTCCCCAAATATAAACACCAGAAGTAGACATCCTTGCAGCAGGCAACGACGTCCTGTACGATACAGAAAAGGATATTAAAATCAGTCCAGCGTCTCAGCGTCTCAGCAGCTCATAACCTCTTCGACAACCGCCTCGACAACACGTCTACGTCCCCATCTTCTTTCGATACAATGATGCTATCCTCTCTCTCAATCATGGACGCCTCTGACCCGATGAGCTGTTCTTCCCGGATCCAGCCCGATTCGACGGCAAAGCACACAATGTCGCCTGCGGCGCCGAAGCAGGGCACACTGTCGTCGGCATCGGGGTTCAAGTACGCCCACATATCGGCCGTCTGTTCCTCAAAATGCGCCAGCTCCTTCGCGTCCCCTCGAAAGTTATCAAGCAGATATTCGTAAAGATAAGCCAACCACAGCACATTAGTGTATGGCACGTATGCCTCCCAGCAAAGTGGCCCGTCGACTCCCTTGGCATAGGGGGTCTTGTGTGCCTCGGGGGGAAGACACTTGCGGTCCGCTCGAAGCAGGAAAGACCGCATCTGACGGTATACTCTGCATTGCGCAGCATGGGTGCTCGTGAATAAACCAAGATCCCGCTCCAGGTCGTAGGCAATCGGTTTTGCAAGGTCGATGGACAGATCCTCCGCTCGTGACAGTCCGTAGTCCAGGATGGTGATGTCGACACCTGAATAGCCAAAGTATCCCTGCGATCCAGGTTTCCTTTGCGTCCGGGGCCGTGCTTGTCTGATACACAAGTTGCCCTCATGAAGATCTCGATGCTGAAAACTCTACGTCAGACCCAATCACCCTCACCGACTCCTCTATAGAAGACGCAAGGCCTCTTACCTCAAACATGGCGAGCTCCTCCGCCCTGGCCAAAGCAATGGCCTCGAGGAAGAAAATATCCCATAGCTCACTCTCGTTTCTCAACTCCCAATCCTCCAACGCAGTGCCAGCATCCCCCAACTCGACAACCAAAAATTTGGTATCGTCCAGATACCGACTTGGTGATGGATAGAACTGTGCTCGTCCAGGGTCCTTTCTCTTCATCCGCCTCTGGAACACTTGGTGCGTCTCGAGTAACGCTCTCGACGTCTTTCCTTGGACGATATATCTCTCCTTGTATACCACAAACCCAGGGATGTCGGCCAACCACTCGGATATCTGCAACTCGCCGTTGACATCCTCCTCGGAATGAGGCTCTTCGTCGACAAGCTTGGATCGCACCTGGGCTTTGGTCTGGGGTTTGATCGGCGAGGTTAAACGGATAACCTTAATCACACTGGTTCCTCGCTCATTTGTGACGCGGTATACCTCTGCGTAGGAGGCCTCTGCGATCTTCTCTATGCGGTCTCCTGGGGGGCAGACCTCGTCCCAGGTCAAAATCCGCAGTGATATGTCGCCAGCTATTTCGTCCAGTAAATTCTCTTTCCCGTCTTCCTCGCTGGTGTCATTGCTTCGAGAGGCGGCGTCTTGAGAATCGCCCTTGGAGTTTCTATAGTCCGAGTCGCCTAGGTCTTCTGGGGTGTCTGAGGAGTCGGTCGCATCATCTATGATTTCTATTCGCTTGACGCTTTTCCGAGGTGATCTTCGTGGCTGCTTTGGTGCGCCTTCTATTTGCACTGTCGACAGCTTTTCTGTCACTGAAGCTATAGTTTCGTCGATGTCCACAACTACTGGTTTTCGCACTGGACTCTGGGGCAGCTCGGCGAATAGACGTTCGGCCTTGGTCCGCGTCGACCGTTTGCCATATTTTACTGTGACTTTTGTTCGAGGCATTTTGGAATTGGCTTCAAAGATGTCATGATTGCTGTATGAAAGCGTAGGTCCAAGATGCGTCAGGGCCGAGGCGGATGTTCTTCAAGTTGTGGTTGGCGGGGCAACGGGTTCCCAACAACTGGGAGCTGCCTGGAGACGAGCCTGCTATGACGTGGAAGCTGGCATCGGTAATGCAACATTGAAAAATTGCAAGAGTATAACTTGTATATATCCTCCCGTTGCGAACCAACCGGTCCCCTCGTGGATGAAAACGATATTGACATTTTGCCTTTTGTCTCCATGTCTTGGGCTGTATGGACGCACAGTGGGCTGGTTGGCTGTGTCAAGGCGTGCCGGACATTAAAAGCTCCAAGCACACCAACCAACTAGCTGTGACCATCTCGCAACAGGACATATGGATCTGGATAATTTTTTCGGTCTGCTTCGGTCGCGGTATTGATAGTAGAAGTAGCTTCAGGATGCATTGGCATCCGTTTCTTAAAACTCACAAGGAGAGCTGCAGACGCTCCAACGCTAACGATGCAGACTTGATGGACCCACCAGCTGCGTCTGTACTCCGTACCCCGTACTCAGTACTCCGTACGTCTCCCAAATTTCCCACGTTGGCTGACAAGCTCAGAGCTCCTCCCTCTCCGCTTCCCTCAACCTTCGCCTCCATCGTCCGCCTTGACCACAAGCAGTCATGGCTGATTTCTTGAAAAACGTCTTTGGCGGCGGCAAGGCCAATGAGCCTGCTGTCAAGCCCAAGGCTGATCCGGGTATGTTTCGTGTTTCGCATTCAATTTTGCCTCGCAAAAAATGAGATGCGACTTGATGCGACTTTGGCCCTGGACTTTCTGCGAGAATTGCATCACCATCCAATGCTAACCATGTCAATCGCCAGACTTTGCCGAATTTGCAGGGGCTCCTGATCCTGTTGCCGAGCCTGTCCCTGCCGCGACGATAGGAGGCCCTGGTGCCGCGGCCACGTCGAGGCCGTACACGAAGTGGTACAATGTCCATGAGCGCCACTCACTGTCCGAGTTCAAGGCGGAGGGCGTCATCCTCGCCATCTCGGCCTTGATCTTCCTCTTTCATATGATCGGTGCGCGAGCCAACCGCTCCAAGGCCAGGTCTTGGATCAGAGCCAATGCCTCCATTCTGAGGAAGGAGTTCGCCCTCGTCGGCTTCGGCGCCGTGCCCACCATGGATAATGAGCATATCAAGCCCGATTCCCTCCTCAAGGAGAAGTCACTCTTCGAGTTCGCCACGTACGCTTCGGGACGACAGAACACGGCCTTTGTTGACGTCAAGCTCACTCTGACCAAAAAGTTCAACCCCATCATGAACCTCGCCGAGACGGCCGCCTCCTTCTTCAGCGACGTCTTCACCGCGCCCGGCGATGTCATGGAAGCGTTCCTTTACCCCTTTGACGGCAAGGAGAGCTTGACTATCCCCTCTCTTCCTGGTTCTGAGGAAGCTCGTGCCAAGGACGCCAAGAGCAATTATGATGGATTCGTCTGGGCCCTGGTCAATAAGGAGAGCATGAAGCGTCTCCGCGAGGACCGATACGATGTCACTCTCACTGCCACCAAGGAGAGCCCCAAGCTGCCCAACTGGCTGACGATCATGAGCGAGAGCGCCGAAGTCACCGACACCTTGCTTACCCAGGACCTCATTGACGCCGTCGTGGCCGCTGGTGACAAGTTCGAGTACCTCATTGTATCTGACCAGCCTGTCGACAAACCCGTCAAGCTGGATGACGCTGCCCCTCGCAAGCGCATCTTCCTCAAGTATCGCCTCCCCTCCGACAACAAATACGACAACCTGCTGCCCATCTTTTCGCACTTTCTCCGCCTGCCCGACTTTCTTGTCCAGAATGGCCGTTTCCGCCCCGAGGTACTGAAGAAGGTCCGTGCTACTCGCGAAGCCATGATCTCCCATATCAAGAAGGCTGCCGAGGAGGAGAAGAGCGAGGAGCGTCAGTTCGAGAAGGAAAAGGCCAAGAAGGCCAAGCGTGACGCCGAACTGAAGGGTCTAGACGCCAAAGCTCAGAAGAAGTATCTTGAAAAGGAGAAGGAAAAGGAGCTTCGAAGAAGCCAGAAGAAAATGACCATGCGGGGATAAGTCGTTTTTGGAGTTTGGCTGCTTGGGGCTCGATGACGGGGAATCGCGAGGCTACAGTGTTTGGCAGGGTATGGACTGGGTGTAATGTGAAAACGGTGCTTTGTATGAGTAGTGCTTGGTACAATCTAAAGCCCAAATTGACTGCATGAAGAACAAAAAAAAGAAAGGTACGCTGGTTCTACATCTGGACGCAATAGCCATTCCACTCTCCCAACGCGTCCTGTTATCAAACGCCACTGCTGGTGCACTCTTCAACTCTTGTTTCCCAACAAGTCCTCCACCCTCTTGACCTTGTCCTCGGCCGTCTGCTTCTTGTCCGTCCTGCTCCAAGTCAGCACCACGGCGGCACATGGTGTCGCAAACCGCACACGTACCTACTGCCCACGCGCATGCTCGACTGCACCCTCACCACGCCCCTCTGATGCACAACCGCATGCGCCTTGCCAATAGCCGCCATGACGTCGTCCCAGCTGCCCTCTACGCTGCGTCAGCCGCAAAGAAGAAGAAAAGACACTCTCGTGCCAGACGTACCGACGGTCGTGCCCGCCGAGTGAAGAGTGTACTTCAACCCGCTGGCTTCCAGGACGCGCTGGACCTGCGCGACCTCCTCCGCCACCGAGACATTGCCCGTGCCGACCTGCAGCGGCTGTCAGCCATGTATGCACCCCGGGAAACGCTCCATGCGGGCGCCGCATACCGGGATGAGACAAAAGTCGGCGTAGCACGCCTCGGGGGTGGGAACGGCGTTGTAGTCCATCCCTGTGGGAGAATACCGTGCGATCGCCGGGATACGGGGCTGCTTGAACTCGACAGGACGGGTCCGTCGTCGTCGTTCTAGCTTTGGTGTAATGTCGAGCGGCAGCAGGTCTGGTGGCCAAAGGTCTGAAGTTGGTGTCCATCCCATCGCCAGCCGACGCCGCTGCTCCACCAGGCCGGACGTATGTATGTATGTACATACAACTTGCAGCTTCATGCACGTGGAAAAGGCAAAACTGTACTCGCCATGGGAAATATTTTCCGTAAAATGAGCCGGCTCTCGATAAAGATACGGATGCAACCATTATATAACAATTTGGAAGTTGTCCTTTTTTACTATTCTGATAACTGCAGATGTGTAGTCAAGTCCTGTTTCTGTCCGACGTCCACCCCACTCCCCTCCCCTTCTTATTCCCGAAAACTGCCCATTCAATGTCTCGGGAGAATGCGTACCAGTCCTCACTGTTTTTAGACAGTTTTAGATTGCATGTGGCAGTTGAACGGCAGTCATCCCTATATACTTTAAGGAACCTTACCAGGGCAATGTCGGCGTGGAGCAATGAAATGATGGCGGGCATTGGTGTCTTGACCGCCATCCTTTACATGTTTCATGTCGGATATGGAAATGCGTACTTCGCCTTGCAGAATAACCATCCATAAGCCAAACTTGACAAGCTCGTATATTGTACAACGACATCAGCCTTCCGTTGACCAATGCGTTGTACACCTATCTAGTCCAATCTAATGCTATTTGATTCCTGTATTCCCCTAGGCTAAAAAAAAGGGCCATTCCAAAAACGCCTCGCTAGATAAAATCAAATACCTTCGGGGTACTTTCGGGGTTCCCAATTCGATTACACCAACAATAATGCGGCCGAAACAAAGGCCACCAAAGCCCCGATGCCAAACTTCCTGTCCTTGGCAAAGTTGCTCCCGGCCGACTGACCACTCGACTGGCTCGTAGATCTCCCCGTAGCATCAGTCACGCCATTCATGCTGTCAAGTGCAGCGATGGGGTCCCCCTTGTCCCAGAAATCGACAAGCACAAAGTTGGGAGCCTTGTTCCACTCCGTCTTGCACTGTTGCAGATGCTTGCCCAGGTTGCCCGTCTCAGACGTACCGGCACTATTGACCGTGCTGATGGCGTCCACGTCGGGTACCTGGATGCTGCCTATGAGGCTCTGGTACTTGAAGTGGTTGACAAGGCTCATGAAGCCGCTGGACAGGGAGCTGGATGCCGGGTTGGCCTTTGACGGCCGGTCGACGGTGCAGTTGAAGCCGCCAATGGCTGTGACTTCAAAGGGCGTCTCGAAGACATGGTCGAACTCGGGAAGGAGGTATGGCGTAGAAGCAGAGTAGTCCATGTTTGTGACAAAGGTGACCACCCGGGCATTGGCGGAGATCATGGACTGGAGAGTCGGCCAGGTCGACGTCAAAAGGTTTGACTGCGGCTTGTATCCAACCTTGGCGAGTCCAGAGCTTTCAAAGACGGCGCCGTAGTCGGAGGCAGGGGCATTGTCCGAGTTAACAAGCAACAGGGTTACCACGTCGTTGGGGTTCTTGGTTACCCAAGCGTTGATGTCCTTGAGCCATGATTCGAGGGCCCCCGCGTCTAGCAAGTCACACGAGGTATGACAGAGCTCTAGTGTGGAATTTGGCTTGTGAACCTGTGCTTGAAGGAGCCGAAGACCGGCATTCAGAGCCGCCGTTGCATTCTTGAGTTGATTCCCGGCGAGGGAGTTGCCCGTGCTGCTGTCTCGGAGGAAGGCGCTATTGTGAGCGCCCATGTGTGTGACGGCATTATATTGACGGCCGCAGAGGGTCGGCGAGTTATTGCATGCTTGGCCCGAGGAGGATGTTGACGAAGGTGAAGGGACTGCGGCTGTAGTTGGAGCTGCCTGGGGGATGGCGTGGACGGAGGTAGCGGCCAGCGCTGCGAGGAGGACTTGCCGCAGTGGTGTGAGCATGGCTGTGGTGATGGAGGATCGAAATGGAAAAGTATGGGATAGCTGACGGATCCGAGGTCTTGTTTTTTTGTTTTTGTTTTCTGGAACTTGGGAAATCAACACAAGCGAATCGTACAAGGAAAGCTCGGATGTTACGAAGCCAGCAACGTCATTAGTAGCACTAAGCCAGAAGTTCAAATGCCCAGGCAGAACGAGAAAGGGCCCAAGGAGAAAAAGAAATGGCAAAAAGATAAGAAACAGAGCCCACGTGCGTGGATGTGGTGAGTTAAATAAAAAGTAGTGTAAAGAAGAGAAAATGATCTACTACTCTCCGAACACAAGAAAAGAATCGAGACCCCAAGGTAGAGGTAGAGGGGCAACACGGGGGGGTGACGAAGAGCAGAAAGGTTCAAATGTTCTGTTATTCTAGGTCCAGGTATCTAGGTACCGTGTACTCTGTACTGTCCCAGGAAGCCAAATATTGAAACCCACGCGCCATCAACCACCACGCAACCAAAAGTATATGTACATACTTACAGACCAGCTCGTCTCTGGAGGCGGTGCTGCGCCGCGCGCCGGCCAACGTCAGCAGTGGAGCGGGCCCGTTACAGGCTGTTGCGAGGTGAGACACTGAGGAGCGAGATGAGCCAGTACAAAAGGAGTAGGGAGTACGGAGCAGATACGGGCCATATCGGAGAAATGCTTGTCCTTTATTCCTATCCCGTAAATTGGCATCGCCAAGCGAATCGCCAAGACAAATAACTACTACTCCGTACTAGGATCATCAGTCGTAAACAGACCGCGGGACCCCAGCAGGTGATAAGTGGCTGGTTGTGTGGCTGGAGTGCCGCAGCTATTTTTATCTCGTCGCTCGTGTCCCAACCAACCCATCACGCATCGCCACTCTCACACTTGGCACAATGGCTTTTCACTCTCTCTGTAACACCAATCATCTCCTGCAAGCCTGTCAGCTTGTGGCAGCACAAAGCGAGGCCCGATGCTCCCTACATGTCGTCCACGACCAAGTCTGCGCCGAAAATGATATGACTCCATACGCGTTTATGCATGTATTTACTACTGCCCCCAGGGAGGGGATAGAAGTTTACTACCTAAAGTAGGTAGTAGTAAAGTGCTCAAACCTGAGCAGACTCGACCACCATCGGATAAACATGCCGGAGATATACTTGTCAATACTGTACATCGCGCATCACTACAGCCCCAGGCCCAGCCCGCATCTCATTCAGGATCTCCCACAGGTCCCGCGGCCTCGGCCTCTGCCTCTGCCTCTGCCTTGGCCGCCGCTTCCAGCTCCTTCAACTGTTTTTGGCCTTCCTCTGTCGTAGCATCTATAATCTGTTCCTCAAGACTAAGGATGTTGGCCTATCACCAATGTCAGTTATATCGTCCACCAGAGAAGCGCCTCGCCAACTTACCTCTCCAAACAGCGCAACCAACTCCTCAGCCGCTTCGACCTTCATCTGACCTAGAACCTTGTTCACTTCATCCAGATTCCCCGACTCCAGGGCCTTCTTCATCTCCGGCTTGAATCCGTCAAAGATTTCCCGGGCATGCTGTTCATCAGTGTCCTGGCTCTCGGCTGAAGGCACCTTGATTTGAATAACGGTCCCCGGTTCAACGGCATGCAGCTGAATCTGTTCAACGCCTTCCTCGGGTTCCTCGGCGCGCTGTGCAATAATCTCCTGCGCCCGCTTCTCAATGCGCGTGTAAGTGTCTCGGACATCATCATAAAATACGGTCTGCGCCTGGTGACCCTTGGTTGTGACTCTCTGGAAGAATAGTCTAACCCCGTCTTTGCCGAGCAGCCTGCAGTACTGTAATAATAGAGCCTGGTGGACATATTGACGACAGTAGCCATCCTTCTTTTCCAGTGCTGCGTCAAAGGCCAGCACCAAAAGGCCGTCCGTCTCCTTCTCCGTCAAGATCTGTGGGTTTTGTGAGAGGAACTGCAGACTGGCAGTGTAGTCGTTGGAGTCAATCTGGGCAAACTTCTTAGCAGCAGGAGAAGCCTCGACCTCTGCCTCCTCGTCAATCTTCGCCTTGTCGCTGGGTGACTGCGAGTCTGAAGATAAAGCATTGGGGTTCAAAAGCTCCACCTCTGTGGACGCACCCTTCTTCTCAGACGGCTTTGCTTTCGCAACGTGTGAACTGTCGAATCCAGTGTGAATGTCGGCACTTGTAATTTTCTTTCCCTCCTCTTTAAGAAGCTTCTCGAGTTTCGGCGTAAGCTCCCTTTGCATCTCATTAATCTTGTCCACGTGGCCTTGAAGCTCTGTAATCATTGCCTGATATCGGTCATCGGGCTTCTTCGCGTCAAGCGCCTTGTTCACCTCGTCCAGCAGAGCAGCCATCATCTGTGAATACGTTTTGGGCTCCTTGCCGTCGCTGTGTAGTCCTTCAGGTCGTGGAGGAACCTGGTCGTCCTTGGGGTCACCGGCCGTTTCCATAACAGCCTTGAATGCAATCTCACCAGGGTTTCTGCCCGCAGCCTCCGAAGCGTGTGTCCTCAACGACGACAGCAGGGACGAAATGCGCTTCAGAAGGCCATCGTGGATGAGCCGCTCGTATTTGTACGCTTCGATCTGGAGCTTGCGTTGCTGTCGCTCTTGGTGGATTTGGCTTTGCTTGGCACGGATAAAGGATCGCTTGTCTACATTAGGATGGACTTCGATATCGGAGTCGTCGCTGAGCTCCAGCGCGTCCTGCAAGGCATCTCAGCATCAGTGTGGATGGTAGGACTGTGGCGTCATCATCATCATCAAGGGGAGGGCGGGGGATAAGGGAAACAGTTGAAATTTTGGAGCTTTGCTACTTACCCATTTGCTATAGTCGACAGGCATCCTAGCTACGTGTTCCAGCCGGACGGGTCAGAGTCTCAAATATGCGGCCTAACTGCTAAACACAAGTCATGGGTGTCACTATCGTATTGAACCAAGTCAATGGAACTTGGGAGATGCGGTGCGGGACAACGGGCTCAGGAAGAGTCTGGAGTCTGGACAAGCAGAGCTTGGTGGGGCAACTTGGTATGACAGCACTTGGGAGGACAAGCTATGACATGACATGACATGCCCACCAACCACCCCCACCATTCGTCGCATTATTTACCCAACATGTGAACATTATTGCCTGCACCTTTCCCACGTCATATTCACTTGTCGTGGGCCAATGTGTCATGAAATCAACTGTCCAGTGTCTTCCGTGCCCCTTTGTTTTGGGAATAGTCGTACAAATTGTCCGGCTTAGTATCTATTTACTGTACAAAGCCCAAATCCACTCGCTTAACCGCGTGCGCCAGGCATGTCCAAATGCTCCCAAAAATCAGGTCCCAGTACTCCGGTATCCTCCTATTGGAGGCATAAAAACTAAAGGTAGTGAAGCAAGCAACCATCTCAGTGACCACGTTTCGTCAGGGGTTGGCTCATGACATGGTCTTCATGAAGTCGTCCAGGTCAAAGCTTTCCTCGTACTGCTTGTTGTCCCACAGCTCACCCAGATCATCCAGCCAGGCCTTCTTACCTGGCTGACGTAGAACGTCACCAGTCTCAATATCTACCATATCCTCTTCCCGTCCGTCCACTTCCTTTTGCGCCTTCTCAGATATCAAGTTGGGCCCAGAGTCGCCCAGATTGAATAGATCAAGAATCTGGTCTGTATCCATCGTCGACAGCCCTGCGTTTTGCTGATTGACAACTGTCGATGCTACATCAATCTTGAACCGCTGCAGACTCAGAATTTTTTCTTCCAGGGTACCACGCGTAATGAGGCGGTATACATTGACCACCTTCTTTTGTCCAATTCTGTGCGCACGGTCCATGGCTTGCAAGTCCTTCTGCGGATTCCAGTCATGTTCGACGAAAATGACGGTATCGGCACCAGTCAGATTGAGCCCAAGGCCACCGACACTAGTCGTCAAAAGCAGGACATCATACGATGGATCGCTATTAAATTTGTTGACAATATCCTGCCTCTTATTTGCTTCCACGGATCCATCCAGTCGCAGATGAGAAACCGAAGGTAAAAGCTCTTTCAGAACCTTCTTCTCAACCATGTCAAGCATTTCCTTCATTTGACAAAAGATGAGCGCTCGATGTGGCTTGATTGGTTGATATAACGGATCGTTAGTATCCCCATCATCGCTACCAATTCCACAATCAACCAAGAGGTCTTTCAACGCTGTAAGTTTGGGGGCATGAATTGTGTCCTCGACTGACGTTCCTTGCCTTTGTAGGATCTTCTGTGTGTCGTCGTAAACAGGAGTGCCTGGTTTCATAACCATGGCCGGTGAGTTGCACAGTTTCCGCATGTACTGCAGGGCTTGGAAGATGTGCTGTTTCGCTTCCTTGTCGTCACGACCAGCCTCCGACTGCAGCTTCTTGCCTTGCTTCTTGGTAAAGTCTTCAAACAACTTCTTTTGCAGGTCGCTAAGGTCGCAATAGTAGTTTTGCAGAATCTTTGGCGGCAGGTCGTTCAACACTTCTTCTTTCAACCGTCGTAACAAGAATGGCAATACTTGCTTGTGGAGCGCCTCAATTGCCAGCGCTCCTGCTTCTTGTTCCTTTGATGATGCTTTACTGAAACGACTGGCCGCGATCGGCTTGGCGAAACGGTCCAGGAACACCTTTTCAGCGCCAAGGAAGCCCGGCATGAGGAAGTCAAACAGTGACCAGAGCTCCAGTACGTTGTTCTGAATCGGCGTGCCAGTCAGGATGAGGCGGTGGTTGCTCGCAAGCCTCTTCACAGCCTGAGTAATTTTCGCCTTAGGATTCTTGATCAGGTGGCCCTCGTCAAGAACAACGTAATTCCAGCTGTGTTTGCCCAAAATGTCCGTGTCGTTTCTGCACACGTCATATGATGTCACTACAATATCAGTCTCCCCAAGTTTATCTCTGATTGCTTTTCGCTCAGCAGGCGGTCCCACGTAAGCTGTGACTGTAAGGAACGGTGCATATGTCCTAATTTCTTGCTGCCAATGTCCAGAAAGAGTGGGAGGGCAAACAATGAGC